CCTTGTAATCCTCCTAATGCTGTTGACTTTTGGCCCTTGCATTATTAACAGACTAGTCCAATTTGTCAAGAAGCGTATAGGGATAGTTCAGTTGATAGTTCTGTGCGCCCAGTACAGGCCTCTAGCAATGGTGAAATAGAAATGCAGTCCGTCTCATTATTGAGCCGGAAGTTCCAAGACAAAGGGGGGAATGAAAGGGTGAGGGCTACGCCCTCCAACTTGCCCCAAATCCTCCATTTTTGGGCAGAGCCATGTGCTCAGCAAGGAGCTTCTTCCCGGAAGAAGCCCAAGCCTCTGCTAGCCACACCTAGGATTTCTTTAAACTAACCAATGATAATCAAGGGAAGTGCGCGCCATAGATATGACCACATCCTGTGTAACAAGACACTGACTTGCGCCTGGCCAATCGGCAGGGCCCACAGTCCTCTCTCCTCCCCTTACTCCAACCCCCCTATAAAACCCCTCTACCCACAAAGCTTGCTCTCTCTCTCTGTCACTTGCCACTGCGTCGGTAAGGAGGGTAGAGGAGCCAAGCCCGGGCTTGAATACAGATTCTTATGCTTTTGCATCGGACACGGCTGGCTCCCTGGTGTGGTCTCTTGGGGATCCTGAAATCTGGGCATAACAGTTCTATTGGGCAGTATTTATCTAGAGATTGGTTAGAGTAGAACCAAGAAAATTTAGTCTCCTGAAAGTCAGGGAAAACAGGGTTTCAAGGAGTAAATGACCAATGGTGTCAAGTGCTTCAATAAAAGCATATAAAGACCAAAAACAAACAAATAATTTATTTAGTGACTTTAAAGCAGTTTCAGACTAGTAATAAAGTTAGAAACTAGATTATAAGAGATTTTGGAGATTTTGGATAAATAAGTAGAGATAACAGGTGTAGACAATTCTTCCCAGTAAAGAAAAACAGAGAATGGAAACCTAAGGAAGAGTTCAAAGAGAATCGAACTGTGTATGTATGTACTAATACTTAATATAAGCATGTTTGTGGGCTCACTGGAAGACTTAGACACCAATTAACCAGCTATCCACCAACTTTCCCAATCAGAAAGGCTTTCATGTAGCAATAACAATAGAGGGTATATAATCATACAATGTTAAAGCTATGAGGAGCCTCAGAAATAATCTAATCCACGGGTCTCATTACATAGAAAGTAGAGGTGCCCATAACCACACAGCTCAGTAGTATTAAAATCTAGAATAAGACCTCAGATCTGCATGCACCAGTTAGACATTTTACCTCATTCAACTGACCAGAGAAGAGGTGAAGAAAGCTTTTTATATTGAGTTCCATTAATCTAGAAAAAAAAAAAAGGAGAAATGTCTATGTTCACATATACAAAACTTCAATTTTTTATAAAGGAGACAGTTTTCTTCTTTAAAATTTAGAAACACAGAGAACAAAGATTTGAGTGTCTCCTATTTTATAACAAACTAGAGGCCCGGTGCACGAATTTGTGCATAGGTGGGGTCCCTCAGGGTGGCCTGAGGGGATCAGGCCCCAGCTTGAACCCCAGCCTTGAAGCCCCACAGCTCCGCTTGGCACCCCGCCGTGGCCTGGCACCACCCTCTCACCTGCTCCATCATCCTGCCTGTGGAGTGATCAATCGGGACTGAGGGGCCCCCTCACCTGGCTCCCTCAGCGCCTAGGAGCCAGACAGCAGCCCCACCCCCTGCCACTGGCACTGGTCGCAGTCTGTGGGGCAATCAGCGGGGCAATCAGGCCCCCAATCGCACCCACCTTGGCCTGGTGCCACCCGCTCACCTGCTCCACCATCCCACCATGGTCCCATTCTCGTCGGGGCCCATTTTGGCCAGCAGCACCTCCACTGCTGCCCACTGCCAGCACCACATCACCGACACCCACCATGTTCCTCACCGCCCCCTGGTGGTCAGTGCACGTCATAGCGAGCGGTCGAACTCCCGAACTCCCAGTCGAACAATTTGCGTATTAGGCTTTTATTATATAGAATTACACTAAAAAGACTTTAAATATTACCTATCTAAATCTTTATTATAACCTGAGAGGTGTTACGTTTTTGCTGTTTCACAATCTAGAGGTGTATGCATCAGATCAGGAAGGTAACAAAGCTAGTGACATTCTTGCTCAGTTCTGTACTCTAATCAATTTGGAAATGATGGAGAAAATGGGAGGACAGATGAATAGGCTCAGGAATGGAAATCAGATTAACAAAGTATAAAATCAACAAGAACCAATTCATTTATTGATGTTGATCTTAAAAATAAAGTCCCCAGCCTGGCAGCCCAGCTGGCATGGCTTAGTGGTTGAGCGTCAACCTATAAACCAGGAGGACACGGTTCAATTCCTGGCCAGGGCACATGCCCGGGTTTCCAGCTTGATCCCCAGTGTAGGATATGTGGGAGGCAGCCGATCAATGATTTTCTCTCATCGTTGATGTTTCTATCTCTCTCTCCCTCTCCCTTCCTCTCTGAAATAAATAAAAATCTATTCTTAAAAAATTAAGTCTCCAAAAACAGCCCTTTAGATAAATCTTAATTAAACAAATGTTTCAAGAACCTCTAACATTGATTGCCTTTGGAGAGAGGAACTGGGTGACTGGGGACAGGGGTTGGAGAAAGACTTCACAGTAAACACTTTGTAACTTTTGGGTTGTAACCATAACAACCTATTATCTATTTCAATAAATAAATACGTCTTTTTGAAACACTTTAAATGTTTTAGTTCCCACCAATAGTTTGTAATAGCATTTGACAATCCTGTATGAGGCTGCAGAAAAATGGAAATTTCAGGTAAAAAAGTCATAATTTTCTGAAAAGGAAAGGGAAAAATCATGTAAAGGGGCACAAGACTTGCTTTGTGGGGCTGGGAATCAGGGACAGACACCCTTTGCTGCAACAATTACTACAATGTATCTGATCAATTCCATTGCTATCATCTTTTTTAAAGTATGTTTTTATTGATTTTTAGAGAGAGAGGGAGAGGGAGAAGGAAGAGATAGAAACATCAATGAGAGAGAAACATCATCAACCAGGGCAGGTGCCCTGCTGGGTAAAGGAACTAGCGACCTCTTGGTGCATGGGTCCAGGCTCAACCACTTAGCCACAGGTGGGCCCCTATCATCTTTAGCTCATCTTTCAGTCTGTTGCTAAGGAAACTTGTTGCCTAAAAGCAATTTACTAATAGGAATCTGTATGAAGCAAAAGAAAAGCAATGATTCTGAAACTTTCAAATTAGGCCATGCTAATTTAATCTATTTTGGTGCCACTTAATACATTATCTTTCATTTGTTATGTAGTGCTACTGTAATGTTGAACATCCTCCATTGTACCCTACAGGAAATTGATCACTTGTAAATTTTTAATACGGAGGTCTTGATAACGTGAGAAAACATTCAAACCTGTAAAGAATTTTTGTGAGTTTATTTGGGCCAAATTGTCGGTAATTGACGGGAAGCAGGATCTCAACATATTGGGATAATGCTCCGCAGAATGGTGGTCTTTCTCCTATTTTATAACTTACCATCAAAGATTGAGACGTAAGTGGGTTACATGAAATCCATTGGTGATAGATTAGGGAAGTGAGAGAAAGCAACCTTTAACCTCTGGAATGGATAAAAAGTAAAAGATAGACACATGCTTCTTTTACATAGATGGGTATAGGATAGTTAACAAAGATTAACACGATAACAAAAATAAGGAAATTTGTAGTCTGCACCCAGGTGCCATTTGTTGTGCCCTGAAGGATCCAGAAAAGGGAAGTTACAAGTTGCCCTGACATTCCACAGGTGTGTTACCTTAGATGCAAAAAGACAACAGGCTCAGTAAAAACAGAAGTTGATCTTTGTCAGGGAAGATACTAGCCTAGAATATGACTACCCACTATGAACTTCCTATTTTTATTTTTTTAATATTTTTAAATTGATTTCAGAGAGGAAGGAGAGGGAGAGAAACATAAATGATGAGAATCATTGATTGGCTGCTTCCCTTTTTAATTGTTTTTATAAACTGCTTTTTAATTAAAGGTCTTAATTTCAGACCATCCTTTAGGTAACTTTAGGTCTCGATTTTGCAAGGCGACCAGGCAGGACTTCCCTGAGTTAGTCAGGTTAGCATGTGGTCCCTTTTCATCCAGTCTGCAGACTGGCTTACCTGAAATGGGGAGCCACAGTTCTGAATTCTGATTCTCTATTAATACTTGTCTTTTCTCCTTAAAAATACTGTGAATTCCACATAATTCCTGGCTAAGAGAATTTTTGTTTTAAGAGATCTTTGCAGAGCACAGGGAGAGGAAGACAAGGCTATTAAATATGTGAAAGCTCTGAACTAAAATTTCTATTTGGGAACGAGGTAAGAGGACTGACATTTAAGTGCAAAAAAGGGGACACTGGGCAGATCAGAGCACTGGGGAGGGCGGCGGGTGTTTTAAGGAGCGTGGTGTGAGCTGGGGTGCCAGGCGCAACCCAGTACAAGATACAAACCCCTAAAGAAAAGGTGGTAACTCAGTCTTCGCGTTTCTGCCCACTCAGTTGGAGAACCAGGTAACAACACACCGACTCATCGCTTTCCTAACTAGCGCGACGGGGAGCCGCAAGGACCCCATTCAAGCCATTCCGACAGAGCCAGCCTAGATCTGCCGGTTTCCACCCAGTCTGATTGCTGCCATCTACTCTGGCCCCGCGTCTCAAATTCGTCCAAACTAAAATCTGGACGATCGGCGACACAGCGGGTTATCTCCAGCTTTGAGCTCTTTTCTCTTACATCTTTAATAAAAGTCCTTCCAATCCCTTAGTTTTCAGGACACACAGACAATCATGCAAACGGCAGCGGGATCCTAAGAAGCGCCAACGTGGCGATAAGTAGAAAACGAGGGGTCCAAAGTCCACCAATTAACTGGGCAACTCGGCCTACGCCCCGCCCACCACCCCTGCCAGCCAATAACCTTCACAAATCCTCTGTCACTCTTGGGGCCCCTGCTGAGCTCTCCTCCGCGCAGATCGCCCGCACGCCTTAAAACCCTCGATAATCGCGCCGCAAATCGGCTTCGCCAGACATCGGCTACCAGCGGAGACCCAAGACCCCCGAAGACAGGCTCACAAACAGCAGCGGGGCGAGAGCAAGGAGAAAGGGCTGCCCGGGACGCCCACCGACACCTTCTGTCCCCTGTTTCCCTTGACCCGGAAGTGGTTCTCCCCTCCTCTCTCTCCCGCCCCCCGCCGCCGCCTCTACAGTTACAATGGGAGGAGGAGGGCGGCCGGGTCTGGCCCGGCATGCCCTGGGCTTCCGGTGACCTCTGGCCCTTTCCTGTCGTATGCTGTGGCTTCCTAGCGTGCTCTCTCGCTCCCAGCCTGCCTTCCCTCCCTCCGGTTTTCCTGCGCACGCCAACTGGTGACTGTGGCGCCCGCAACCAGCAGGGAGGCGGTGGCGGAGGACACTCGTCATGGCTGCCTCTAAGCCCGTAGAGGCGGCGGTCGTCGCTGCGGCTGCGCCCGGCTCCGGGAGCGGGGTGGGCGGCGGCGGGGCGGCTGCGGGCCCGGGCACGGGGGGCCTGCCGCGATGGCAGCTGGCGCTGGCGGTCGGGGCGCCCCTGCTGCTGGGCGCGGGTGCCATGTACCTGTGGAGCCGGCAGCGACGGCGCCGAGAGGCTGGAGGGCGAGGCGACGCCGGCGGCTTAAAGCGCAACAGCGAACGGAAGACCCCGGAGGGGAGGGCCAGCCCGGCCCCGGGCAGCGGACACCCCGAAGACCCCGGCGCTCACCTGGAAATGGTGAGCAGCGGCCCTGGGCCGCGGAGGTGGAGCCCGGCGGGCGCAGCTTTCCTGGACCGGCTGTGCCGGGCGGGGGCCTTCCCTGCGGACGGCAGCACGTGGGCTCGGGGAGAGCCATTTCTGGCTGCCTTCGGGGAGCGGAGTAGCTCGAGGGCACGGGCTAGCGACGTTCTTTGACAGTTTTCTTTTGGTTTCAGAACAGTGTTTTGCTCGGTGACACAGCACTTACCGCTAGCGTTGCAAATGTGACATTGTTGAATTAAGTAGCGAAGGAAGCCAAATTCCATTAACGATGGGTACATTGTAACACGAATTGCTTCGGTGATTCCCAAGGCCTGGCACTTAATCGGTAATGACCTTTTAAGAACGAGCCACTCCCCCTTTTTTTGAAGTGTTTTAGGTTGGGGCTGGGTAAATACGGTGAGTGTAGGTTGACAGTAAATGGTGTTCATTGGCTTTTTTTTTTCCATCTGTAAGAGTGAGTTCTTAAACCTTTTGGATAGAGGCATCTTAAATTCCTTTTTTTTTTATTTCACCTTGACATTCACATGACCAAGCCTGACATGCCTGAAACAGATTCTCCGATGTTAGGTGGAGCATTGGCATCTCCCTTGAGATGCTTTGTATGGTTTTGTTGAACTATTAAATCCTTTTGGTATCCAGCAGCTGTGCGGGGAGTTGGCCAGGCTGCATTTAACACTAGGATGGGGTAGGGTGGAGTTTTATCCCAGGCTGGGATTATACGATGGTAGCTCCAGAATAAATCAGAGGTCAGAGAAACCTTTGGTCAAATAACTCCAGTTTATATACATTTACAAATCATTTCCATATGCTTTTCATGTTCAAGACCTGTTTCACTAAGCCAATTTAGCTTTGCAGGAAGTTTGGTGTGGTAATGAACTACCTTAGTTTAGTGCTTACTATACTGCTGTCATGCAAGGCCAGGAGAGAGCCAGAGGTTTTTTCCAATAGGAGAGGAAAACAGAAAAGATGCACAACAGTATGGTGGAAGGACACATGGACTGTGAGCACTAGGAGATGTGCACTTTATATTGGGCTCTCCATCATAGTTACCTTGGGAAGGTCTTTTTTTTTAATCCTCACTCAAGGATATTTTTCATTGATTTTTAGAGAGTAGAAGAGGGAGCGAAACATCCATGTGTGAGAGAAACACATCAATTGGTTGCCTCCAGCACGAGCCCCAACCAGGGCCCAGGCCGGGAGGAGTCTGCAACCGAGGTAGGTGCCCTTGACAGAATCGAACCCGGGACCCTTCGGTCCGCAGGCTGAAGCTCTATTCACTGAGCCCAAGCTGGCTAGGGCGGGAAGATCATTTTCTCTCTCTGGTCTTCGTGTCATCCTGCATAATAAGAGGATTAAAGGTTAGATCTCTTACATTTTTTCCAGCCCTAAATGGTGATTGAGTGCTGCTAATAAGAGGTAATCCGGGGATTCTTTGAATTAGTCATCACTTGTCTCATGTCTCATTTTCATGTATCTGAAATTATCTGGCCTTTCCTAGTTCATCTTTAAATTAAATTTTTAATCACAGAAGAATAGTGGATGAATGACAAATACATAAAAGTTCTCAGTTATATAATAGTCACCAAAAATATAGTTTCTGTACATGAAACTAGATTTTGACATTTCATTGCATTTTCTTTTTTTTTTTCTGTTGCATTTTCAAATAGTACCCCACCTCAGTCATTTGGTATTTGATAGAATCTAGTAAGCTCATTTTCAGCATTGTCTGGGTCATCACTGATGATTTTTAAATTTCATGGTGTTTTGTAGTTTTATCAGAAAAATCTTTTTATTCACCTGACTGCCATTAAAAAATGAGACCTTTAGATTAACTTCTTTGTGTAACTTGAACTGCTTTGAAATAATTTAATATTTTTATCCAAAATAAAACTGTCACATACTGTTGTACACCTTGTGGCATTTGTGGGCTTGTACTTATATTCTTGCTTTGAATTACTAGACGATACTTTAGTAAAGCAACTATAAGAATGTCTATTTAAATTTTGTTCATCATCCCAGGATATGTTTATTGATATTTTTTAGAGGTGGTGAGGGGGGAGGGGGAGAAACATCAATGTAAGAGAGATGTCTATTTCATTTTTAATACAAATTTGTATTTTAACTATTTATGACAAATACTAGTCTTATAGTCTAGAGTTATTATTAGACTACCTAAATACAACTGGCCCTAATTGTAATTTATTATTTGTGGTTGGAGAAATTGCTCTGTGTTTGAATAGCATTTTTAAATTGGCAACCTCAGTAGGTTTTGTAGTTAAGCATTGGTTTCAACTAATTGAAAAACTGGCAGAATCCTGATGCCTTATAGCTGTTCTTTCTTCACCTGATCAATAGTAAAAATTTTTAAGAGAATGAAGGAATGGGCAAATATTATCAGTTCAGGGGTCGCTATCAGTGAATGATAATGGAAAACCCGTGTTTTTTGTCTTTGGACTTAGTTTGCCTTTATGTAAAATGAACCAATAAAATTACTGGGCTTTTCTCTATTGGGTTTCAGATTTCATGTGCAGTGTAGACTAATTCCCGTTATTTTTGGAGGGAGGGTAATAGCAAATACTTGTAATGGAAGAGCAGACATTTATATTTTGTTTAATTAATGGAGACTTTAGGATTTCACTAAAGAAAGGCACCTAACCACAGTTGACAGCATCTGAGATTGAGGTACAGTCTGGGCTCATCCACAAAGGATATGTTCCAAGACCCCCAGTGGATGCCTGAAGATAGTACTCAATCCTATATTTACAGTTGTTTAATTTAATGATGGATTTACATCAACATATACTCATAAGTTGAAAATAATATAAGTTAAAAAGTGAATTTAATGCTATGCTGTAGAATATCAGTTTCCTCTTGTGATGTGTGGCTGACTGGGAACTGTGGCTCACTGCTACTGCCCAGTATCAAGAGTATCTTACCACATATCGCTAGCCCAGGAAAAGATCAAAATTTAAATTTGAAGTACAGTTTCTACTGAATGCATATTTTCATGCCTTTGTAAAGTTGAAAAATCGTAAGTCAAACCATTGTTAAGTTGGGAATCATCCATACTATGTTTTTTAGATACCTATAATAAAGCTTCAGGCAAACTAAGAGATACTAGTAACTAATAATAAAATAGAACAATTACAACGTACTATAATGAAACTTATGTAAATGTATCTCTCTCAAATATCTCATTGTACTAATCTCACCCTTCTTGTTACCATGTGAAATGATAAAATGCCTGCATAGTGAAATGAAATGAGGTAAATGACCAAGTCTTTATGACATAACATTAGGCTACTTATTGACCTGACCATACATCGGAAGGATTATTTGCTTTGAGTGATCCTGACTCATCAAGTCATGATTGGATGTCAGGAACTACGATGTTGATGCCTGGGAAAATTTTCCCATGCAGTTACTGAAAACTTGGAGAGGGAAACCATTGATAAGGAGGGACTGCTGTACTGAAAGTATTAACTCATATTATATAATGGGCCATTATAAAACCTACCATGATGTGCCACTGATTCAGTAATTAAAAAAAAAAAACTTGAACAATTACAGATTCTCAAAGTCAGAAAGTTGTTTGAAGATCATCTTGTCCATAGGTCTTCTCAGTCTCTGGACCTGAATTATCACAAGAGACCACCACACCCACATATACACCAAGCCTGGTATCCTGACTGCACAAATGTTTTGGACATTTCTTTTTTCAAACCTGTGATTAAAAAAAAAAATGCATGTATTTAAAAGCATTTTGAGCCCTAACCGATTTGGCTCAGTGGATAGAGCGTCAGCCTGAAGGGCCCCAGGTTCGATTCCGGTCAAGGGCATATGCCTTGGTTTCGGGCACATCCCCAGTCGGGGGTGTGCAGGAGGCTGCTGATCAGTGTTTCTCCCTCATCGATGTTTCTCTCTATCCCTCTCCCTTCCTCTCTGTAAAAAATCAATAAAATGTATTTTTTTAAAAAATAAAAGCATTTTGACTTTATAGTAGCTTTCTATGCAGTTGACTTAATCTGATGATTAAAAAATACAGTTATTATAGTATTCAAGTTTTTTTAATGTTACACAGGAGTGGGTTATCCCACATGAAATGGTTAAGAACCACTAATCTAAGTTAGCCCTCTAGAATGGGAAGGGAGAAATACAGTGGGGCCTTGACTTAAGAGTGTCCCGACTAACGAGTTTTTTGAGATACCAGCTGTCTCTCGACCAATTTTTTGCATTGAGTTGATAGCGTAATTTGAGTTAACGAGCTCCTTAATGAGCTCGGTCTCGGAACGAATTAAACTCGTAAGGCAAGGCCCCACTGTATATCTAAACATTAGATAATGTTTGATAATGGTATCAAAGACTGAATAACCTGCACTTACCAGTCATCTTCTAAATAATTATCTTTCTCAAAATTATCTGTTTCTAGATATATTTTAATATGCTTTTATTGATTTTTAGAGAGAAACATCAATGAGAGAAACATCATCGATAGGCTGCCTCCTGCATAACCCCTACTGGGGATTGAGCTCGCAACCCAGGCATCTGCCCTGACCGGGAATCAAACCGGTGATCTCTTTAAAAGAGACATACCAATGTCTCTTTAAAAAATAAGGATCACCAATGACATACCTATATAATTCAATTCAGTGAACACCACATCACTGATTACATGACACTGAACTTTTTCCTTCCAAAGCACTTAATCACAATACTAGGGTTGCTTGTTCATCTCTTTCCTACTATATTCTTGAATCTGTGAAGTCTGGGGTGGCTCCATCTTTCTCACCATTGTGTTCTCAACCTAATACAATGCCCACCACATAGAGAGATTGAGCAAATGAATCAATAAACCCTCATTCTTTGACATTTGTAAATATATATATCCACAAGTTAAGTATTTTTTCAAAATTTCCAGCTTTTAATTTTTGTTCTACCAATTGATCCTGGAAATTGGTATAACAGTCTTAAACCTC